AAAAGGTCTTATTGCAGCATCTATAGGCGGCTTAGGTTACCTGAGCCTCTCTAGTGATTCAGAAGACTTTGACCAAGAAAGTTAAAGCCAGGGACGATCAATGAGCCTCTGCAAGCAGCATTGCATCGAGTTACCAGCTGAGACGAGACAGTGGGAGCTGCACTTCATAACGTTTTTTTTCCCTGGTCAGGCAGTGAGACTGAGGAGCGATTACAAACCTCCCTCCTCCTCCACTAGAAAACCAGTTTTTTGGGTGTCATTTTCTTCCATATCATGTCAGGAATAAGCATGGTAATTTCTGTGTACAGAAGCACCTTTCAGCTACAAGGAATCTGGGAAAGAGCAGGAGAGTAGAAGGGCACAGAGGGCATATTGCTCAGATACCGATGTATATTTCTATTGCCAGATGACAGCATAAAGCCCTTCCAAACAGGGCTTATTTTTTGTGGGAGAAACCAAAAAACCCTCATTTGGCTTCATAAACACCACCACCTCTGCCACAGTTACGTAGTTAATATGCGGTCAGATCAGTCTAATAAATGTTGTTGGAGTCAGCCAACCTAGAATCCACCAAAGGCATCCAGGAAGGTGGTTGGTAAAATCCACATGTCAAAACTCTCTGGTATCACTTCATTCATGAGGTGAGGATGACTACAGGGAACCATGCCATCCTAATCCCACAGTTCAGAAGTAGAGGAATCTCCTGCCATCCATTCTTCAGCTGGGGCACAATTGGGGTACAAAGCCAATGGAGACAGCTTGGTTCCCTAACTGTTTTTGGGTGTCAAAAGGACGCATAAAGGACAGCAGAGAAGTGTGGATAACAGAGCCAAACCCCAGATCTGCTCTCTCCTGGAATAAAAATCCAGAATAAGATTGACTGAGGTATAAATGAATTATTCTCCAATTACTAATTGTACTCCTCTTCTAAAATGGCTTTAAAAATATTTCTTATTAAAAAGAAGTTGGAAATAAAAAGTTGTGAAATAGCACAAATCCTCCCTGAACTTGGGATCATTTTCCTGTATGTCTGCAGCTAATAATCAGCTGGCCAAGGAGTCCCCTTAGCAGCAAGGGCAAATCCCAGAGCAGAAGGTGGCTGGTGCCTGGGGGTTACATCCTCCCTTAAGGACAGCTTGTGCATGCTCCTTGATTCTCTATCCCAAAATTAGAGGATGAAATGAGACAGCATGACCAAAATTTAAAAGGGGCGGTTAAAAGGACAGAGTCTGGGACAGGTTCCTTCTTCACCCAGCAAGGTCAGTGCCTTCCCCCTTTGTAAAGCATTCTCTCTCCTTGCAAGACTGCTGCTGCCTTTTCATCTCAAATATCCATTTTTGGGGGCAGCTAGGGTGTTAAGTATGACACAGAGGCTTCACATAGGGCTGAAACTTGTGTGGTCACCATGAACATATGGAATAGCACTTGTTTATGTCTGCTCTGGTGCTGGTGGTAGATCACAAAGGGATAATGAGGGCTCCATCAGCTGCAGAAGGCTTTGTCCCATCTTGGGGGCTAAGAGCCTCCCCACTCAGCCCCTGTGTGATGGGGGAAGGAGTCAGAGGAGGGTTTGGACACAGATGGAGACTCACAAGCGCTTGAATATTGAATGGTGTCTTTGGACACCCAGTAAGACCAGAGGATGCTGCACTTCATGTCAGGCTTAGGGAAGACTGCCCTGCTCTTGTCCCTCTCTGCAGCCTACTATTCAGGCTAGTGACATTGTTGTGACCTTGTGACCAGGCACCACACAACTCCATGCCAGCTATTAGCTTTTCAGCCTTGTTCCTCAACCGCCCTCCCCTCCCTCCAGTTCCCACCCTGGCCCCCTCACCCTCCCCTGGAGACCCATGCAGCAACTGAGTGCCACATTTTCAATTTACACCAACTAAATGATTCATTGCCGCCTAAAGAGTCCTGAACAGAGACCAGGAGGGGAGCTGAGCTATAACAGGGAAAGGGAGGAGGGGGGACAAGATTGAGACTAAAGATACTGAGATGAAAAGCTCCGGTAACCTGCTCTATATTAGCTCTCCTATTATCAAGGCAGGAGCCAATCAATGCCCCCCTCCTCTCTCCTGCAGCCGTCTGTGGGTCTGTCTGTCTCTTTCTCTCACAGTGGACTCAAGTTTCTGAGTGTAAGGTTAGGACGGCAGAGCTGAGGAAATCAATTCCTGAGCCCTGGCACGCAGCCCTTTGCACAGACAGCCCAGCTCTGCCGTGAGATACTGGGTGCAGACCTGTCCCCAGGTGTCCCCAGACCTCTTATGTGTTTGGAAATGGGCATCTGGGGAAAAGAGTCTGCATCAGCCCTTAAAGTGTGAATCCCAAAGTACGAGTGACCCATACGGGAGAAATAAAATGACAGATGTTGTGCTTGCCTTACAGTTTTCAGTCATTTCCCAGCCCACCAGTGTTTCTCCTGATGGTTTATACTGGAGGGGAAAGAAGTGTGAAATGGATGGCCTTGCCTACAGGATATCTGATTTCCAGTCCCATTCTGTCCCAGGTCTTGGACAGCCTATATGCCTCTTTCAGCCTTTCCCAAAAGCAGTCCCCACATCAGCAGAACTAGATTCAGCCAAGCCCTGAAATTCCTCTTAGGAGGAAAAAGAGAAGGGTCAGCACACATGAGGGGGAATATTAAGGCAGACCTCCCCAGAAATCCTTCTTCAGGATTTGCTGACCAAGCACCACATATGAGGAAAAGTCTGTTAATGAATCTTGAGGGGTTTTGAGGTGCAAAAATAAGAGCTATTAATGGCCTCAATGTTACGGCACTGTTGCAATGAATGTCATGCACATCTAAACATTGCTGAATGGGATGCAGATGGCTCCTCTGCTCTTAGGGATATCAAGAAGGACTGAAAAAAACTTAGGCCCAGAGAGGAACACAAGACTGAACTGAAAACCCCTGCCATACTTGAGCTGGAAATAGGATTTCTTATCTGCAAGGGAAAGAAAGGGGAAGGAAAAGATAGGAATGGGGCTGAAACATTTGCTTTCCAATTGCTTCAGAAAAATCCACAGGGATCTCAATGACCTTGCCACTGTTTTATAAATAAAAAAGCAGAAGTGACCAAATGGAAGAGGTCTTGAGGACCTTGCTGTCACCCAGATCAGGGTGACTCTGGGGACAAATTTCTGCTTGAAGGACTGAGTTTGCATGAAGATTTCTTGTCCTAGTACAGTCAAGGCTGCCATTCTCACTTATCACCAGCAACAACATTTCTGTCACTCTTTCACAATGAATTGCTGGGCAATCTGCAGTTGTCTCTGCCCCTTTTCTCTCCTTTTGGGAATTTACTGTTGGGTGTATTGATTGCTTGTTGCCACTGACCCTGGATGGTAAGAGATGAAATATCTAGCATTGATTGTTACAGTACAATCAATGGCCAAATTCATGCTTGCATACAGTCTGTACTGCTCTTCTATTAGCAACATGTAATGCTCCATAGGATGGATGCAAGATATGAAATGGAAACATACTATAGAGCTATATATCAGTTGAAAATATCCTCAGGTCAGTGGCACAGAGAATGAAGAATAAGGTCACAGTTCAGGATTAGTTTGCCAAGGATCCCTTGAAATTATCCCAAAACCAGAGAGAAGTTTGGAGCTGGGTCACCTAGGAATTATCTTAAATTAAGCAGACTGTCACTGTTTTGACTGAGGGTCATAGATGACAAAGAGCATCTGCAGAAGGTTGGGATATAGTACAAGTTTGTTCCTTTTTTGTCTGCTTCAGAAAGGAGAGGTAGAGAAAAGGATCTTTCCAACTGCATCACTATCTCCACAGGTAGAGTTTGCAGTGCAAGAGGAAAAGTTGTGAGGTAAACTCAGAGGAAAAAACAGACACTGCAATAACAGAGTTCATCAGAATAACCATCCATCGCTGCCAAGGATGCTGAGACTTGGAGTGACAGCACCCTGCAGAGCAATGCTCAGCTGGAGACATTTGGTTAGACAGATCCAGTGCACTTTCTAGCCACTGTCTCTGCCGAGAGGTTCTTGGCAAATGAGACCACTCTGCCACTCAGAGCCAGGAGCTCAGCCAACCTGACACCTCCTTTTGCACGGCTTTGGCAGAGGGCTCTCTGGAAGAGGAGATCACTGGCACTGAAGGCTGCAGAGAGGGAACTTCAAGATCAATAACATCATTAAGAAGGTCTACAGAAAACAAAGCCAATTAGTTAATCTCCCCATCCTGAGGATGCTTGGATACATTGCTCTTTGGGAGGCACTGAAGACGGCAGCACTGCAGAATAGTGTAACAGTGAAAGGAGGGCTCTTCTTGGCCTGTTGCAGAGAAGCCCAAGGATGTGGATACAGACAACTCTGCTCAACATCATGGCTTGATAAGCCAAATGGGCAGGGCCAGCACAGCTGAGATGACCTACAGAAGAGAAATGCTCGACTTCAGGATTAACATAATTCCACAGTGACGTTGGAAACTTATCTCTCCCCTTGAAATCTAACTTGGATCAGATCCTTGGGTGTTCTGAGAGAACTGATTCCCATCTAAAAGCACTGGAGATTATGACGAATGTGAAAGAGGTTCAGCCTCATAGTGGAAAGTTGCAGGTGCTGAGATAAGTTCCAGTCTGGCTGTTAGCTAGGGCCTAACTGCCATAATATGGAAACAAGAAAGTATTTGTCACACAGAGAGAAGCAGTTGGAGGGCTTGATTCAACACACATCAGAGTGGATGGGTATTTTCCTGTGCAGCCAGCACACTATGAATGTGGAAATTGAGGAGATCTGATGGGTCTCTACTGACCTTTCTCTTCCATTTTCAGCTAAAAAATGTTTCTTGATTAAGCAAAGACTCCCCCTTCAAATCCCAGAATCCCAACTGGAGTTGCCTGGGTGACATCTGAGTTCATCTGGCTAAGCTAGGGACCAAAACAGCTCTTTACTGCTGCTACCATGGTTGGAGAGGGAGATTGGCTGGGCATGAAGGAGGGCTGGGATGGTGACAAACACCAGCAGGTACTTACGTGTTGTGAAGCACACACCACCCACAGTGAGGGTCTCCTGAGCCCAAGCACTCGCTGCAGGTCTCGTATTGACTGCAGGACTCCACGGGCACCCGGGTGAGCTGCAGGAGGAAAGGGGACAAATTATTAGGATTTTCATAGGGCACTGCAATGGCCTTAATGACTTGGCAGAGGTGCCACCCTTCTTCTCCTTTTTCCCTGGTGCTCATCATCTGAAAGGACATCTCTGCTGAGCTTAGCAGGGCTAAGACAGATGCAGATATGGCTGCAGATTACTCTAAATTTCAACATGGTGAAAATCCTGTTTAGATCAGCATCTCCTCTGTGATCATGATCTCTCAGAATCATAGAATCATACAGTCACTAACGTTGGAAAAGACCTCTAAAATCACCTAATCCAACCATCCACCTACCACCAATATTGCCCACTAAACCAAGTTCCTCAGCACATCTCCACTTTTCCTGAACATCTCCAGGGATGGTGACTCAACCACCTCACTGGGAAGCCTGCTTCAGTGCCTGACCACTCCTTTGGAGAAGTTTTTCCTGACATCCAGACCTCTTTACGTGGTCTCTCACTTTTCACCTTACATGCACATTTTCACGGGGATTCAGCAAATCAGGCAGGCCTGGGTGCAAACTGTGGTGACAAGGCACCTCAGGGAAATTAAACGTGTTAACTTCTGTGGTAGTGAAACTAGATCTCCATGCTCTCCTATACTGTGGTTACAAATCACACCTCTTTCCTTCTCCTTATGAAACCTGAGATCTCATGATGTCTTTGTCTCTTTCCTATGGCCACGTGCATCTCCACTGCTCCCAGGAGAGTGCTAGGTTCACACCCCAACAATCAGTTGTAATCAGTCATAGAATATCCTGAGTTGGAAGGGGCACATAAGGATCACTGAGTCAAACCCCTGATGCACCCTGGGGTACTGTTGGCCCTTTTGGCTGCCTGGACACACTGCTGGCACACAGAATCCCCACACCCCTTTCCTCAGGGCTGCTCTTCAGTCTGGACACATACCCAAGGTTGCCCCATCCCAGAGAGGTTTCTCCCAGCTACCAGGGGCTACCAGCCTGGGTAGTGACAGAGCTTGCCATTACCCTGACTTTGCAGCTCAGAAGGTATCAGTTTGAACTAAAACACCCACACACTGCCAAAATAAGGCATTTTACTATATTCTTTCATCCTTCCTTCCTTCTTAATTAAAGTATTTCAGGCAGAGATTTCAAAGACAGAAAGGACTGTCTAGCTGACCTCCTGTTTAACGGACCACAGGCTTTTGATTCTATTAGGTTTCCTAAGCCCCTTACTTCTTTTGAAACCAAACATACAATTTGGGCCCAGTGACCTGATAGTCTTTTTTCCATTGAGTAAGCTTCAGAGAGCTTCCATAATACACAGTCAATTGCCAGTGCCTTCACCCTGGCTCATGTCATCAGGGAGAGTTTATTCCTTCGGATGATACAGGTTGATATTATACTGATGAAACACCACTGAGAACTGTCAAATGTAAACTGCAGAACAGTTACTCATGACAGATGACAAGGGAATACACCTAGATCCTAGTGACAATTTTTTACTTGGTGCAACATTCAAGGGAATTTGAACTGAAGATTCATTCTGATTGCATCTGTAAATGGAACAACACAAAGCTCCGTATATATAGGAGGAAGGTAAGGAAAAAGAAGAAAAAGAGATTCTGAACAAAATTCCACATATTTATGGAGATCTTTTCCATTTTTATCAGAAATGGGCTTCCTAACCCCTACACAGACCTCATGTAGTCTGTGAGAAGGTGAAAATTTGTATTTTACCTTTGGCTGTTGGCAATAGCTTTAGTGAACTTTAGATAGAAATATGATAGAGCCTATTTACCGTTGCACTACTGCCTGTATCAAGTCACCCAAGGAAATCAACGGTGGCTGCTGAAAGCTTTTAAGGACAAAGGGTGAATGTCAAGTAAAACCCACAAAAATGCCTTTCAATCCACTGCCACGCACATGAGATCCTGATCAGAACAGATCATAGAGCAAAACGAAAATGGGAAAATCAGAACAGCTTATCAAGTCATTCTAACTTCAAGAAGCTTCAAAGGCAAGTGACTTGGGCTTGGATGCAACAGCTCCACATTCCTTTAGGTGTGGACTTTAGGTCAAGAAGGAATCGTCAGTTCATCAAATACAAATTTCTATACGCTTGAAGATTTCGTCCTATTAGACTCACATTTACCTCAAAAATATATCTTATCTTACAGTTCAACTTTCAAAAAGTCATACAACTTCAGTGAGAAGGTAGCAAGGGGTGGAGATCTTATTATTTATATGTTGATTTTCACCACCTGTTAGCTCCACCTGGGAAAAATGTACTCATTTTTACTAAGTTATATCTAGCTTGAAACATCTACACTGCAAACATCAAAGTACTTGAAGAAGAGGCAGATAGTTCAGCTTGAAAGACTGCAAATCTGCCCTTCCTTAATCCACATGTAATCGATTGTGTAATCTCCACCTTGTAATTAGAAAGAATACAGTTGGTAATGGTTATCCAAACTATCCTTGGCTAACATATGGTGCAGCACAATTTATCCTCATTAGCTGTAGATAATTTTTTCGGACCTCAGCTTCTGAGCTAGTTTACATCTGCCTTACAGAAGCGAGTTTTGGTCAAAAAGTTCAAAACCTGCACTTTGCTTGAATGTAGTGATGTTGGATTTGAAAGCTGTGAGTCAGAATCCACTTGCGACTGTGACATATGAACAAGAATGAAGTCCTAGAGGACAGAAATCTACAATTTATTTGCAAAGTGCTACAAAAAGAGTGGATAGAAAGCTGTCTCTGTAGGTTTTATTGTTATTATTATTTAATTAGCCATCAAAGCAAAACCAAGCTCCTCTCAGAGGCAGAAAGCACCTACTGGGAACACAGATCTTCATTGAAGACAAACTTCTTTGTCTGTGTACTTAATTTTCCATAGGATACAGTTAGTGTCTTGTGTGTGCAGGAATGCACATTGCCTGTGTCTCTGTCCCAAAGAGCACAGCTATGCAGTGTGAGCTTACAGCAAGCCCCATCTTTACCCCATGTCTTGGGAAGCCAAAGTAGTGGGTGTCTTGAGTCACCATTTGCATTGCTGCATGTTATTTTTGCTATATAAGACCTTTTATGAGTTCACCTCAAGTAGCTTTATGGTGAGACTAATTAAAATTGTACCATGCTGGTAAATGTCTTGGGCTGTGTCACACCTTCTAATTAATAAAGGAAAAGACTATAAAAAACAAAGAAGCTGCAAGTGAAAAGGAAGCCGCCTAGGGGTCATCAGCTGAAAGGAGAAAGAACATCAAGCAAATAAGGCACATCAGAGGTCTCATTTTCCTTTGGAACATAAACTGTAATTAATTCAGCTCGGCTTTTCAAGTTGAAAGTTTTGAGAACTGACCATGCCCCTTGGGAGCAGTCAGCTTTTCATGCTTCCCCTAAGATATCTGGAAAAAGAAAGTCCATGCAACCTCTCAATTATGGTTGCCTTGCCATTTTTTGTAAGGATGAAGGGACTGGACAACACTGAATGTTGAAATCTCGACTGCAAACCATAGCGTGATTGCTCCTTCCCCCACTTTTCATGCTTGGAATGTCTAACAAGCATTTCAAGCTTGTTTCCCACCCTCACTGGGGTTCCACACATCTGATCTTTCATCAGTGAAACTTTGATTCAACATTCTGCAGCAAATATTATCAGGGTCTCAGCAGACAGAGGATTAACAAAAGCAAAGTGTCCTTCATTTTGGAACTCTAAGAGCCAGCTTGGAGACATTTGTATTCCTGCAGTGGTCACAGCTTAACTGATATTTTGGCCTCACTTCGCTCGAGCAAAATTTGGATGTGGTAAGAGACTGCTGTTGTTCTAAGGGCTTACAGCCCATAGTGATGTGGCACATATTCCCATTTTATCCATGAGAGCCACGGCTGCAAGAGAGGTCTCATGCAACCGAAGGAAGCTTTGAAGATGTAAGCCTAAAGCATCTGGGCAAGGTCATGCAAGAAGTCCATGAAAAAGTTGATTATTGAATAACAAGTTATTAAGTAAAAGCTACTTAGATATTAGTTGCTTTGAAATGGTGAAGAGATTAAGTTAGATCTCCTAAAGATCCCTGTTCACACAGCTGATGGACACCTAGGAGCTGCTGTGCTTCCAAGCCCTTGTCCATAGCACACTGGAGACCATCTAGCCTCCCCACTACTCACAGAACGAGATGCAATTCCAGTGCCTGGGTCAGACAAATGGATGTGACGTCCTTCTCAAGGGTAGCAAGAAAACAGTGAGCACATCCAGCTGCCTCAGCTGCAGCAGGATTGGAACAAATACTTCTCTTTGCCAACACATCCATTCAGAAGCCCCCAAAGAAATCATTCATGTGTTTCTGGCTCCCAAGGACATCTCAAAAAATCTGGCAAACCTGCAGACTGCTGTATAGTTTAGAGCTCACCTGCTATATATGACTTATGCGATTTTTGCACAACACCAGGGCCATCCTCACCTCTGATCCAGCTTAACTGCAAAACTTACTTTTACCCTCTACTTCTAGTATGAATGAGCTTCAGAAAGTCATTTAAAACAAAGTGATTGAGATTCTGGATCTGATAGACAGTAACAGTTAATCCTGTTAGAAATTTGGCTCTCACTTCTGCCATTATATATTCATAAAAGCTCCTGCTATGTGCTCAGTCATAATTTTCTGGCTCCCATTTTTGACTTCTTTATTTCAATATACATTACTTTTTTTTTTTTTTTTTTTTTCTTTTTTCTTTTTTCTTTTTTTCCCCTTAAACTGCCAACATTCTGGTCAAAACATAAATCATTGCTCAATCTCTTCTGTTATAATTGGATGTTAATACAGCATCAGGATTTATTCAGTCTGATGGACTAAGTTAATTTAAATGCACAAAAAGGCATCTTAAGTAGCCAATTTCCTTCCCAACAGTCAAAAGATACATTTCCAAAACACTGAACAGTGACTGTTAAGCTATGCAGGTTCTGTGAATGCTGCTATCTTTCAAGACTCAGCCAGTCCCAAAAAACTGCAGCAAGATTAAGA